TGGTATCAATATTATTCTGATGGATATAGTTGGCTACTGTGATTCAATGGGCTCTCTCTCACCTTGGTCGTCTTGACTTTGTTTCCCGTGCTGCAGCTCCAACCTTTTAGATCTGGCAACACCTTACACTCCTCGCCGTCCATACACGGCTGCATCTGACACCACCACTTCTGTGCTACTATTGAAGCTGTGCAGACAGAGAGAAAGACAGGAAGAAGAATCTCAACAAGACGAATCTCACTCTGTGGGAACTGACAAAATGGGAAAGGCACATCCCCAAATCACCATGGTTCCCAACACTTTAAAGGACGAATCTAAGAAGATTGAGAGGAGAAAACCTCAGAAGATCTCAGTCACGTCCACAAAGAAATGGGACTATCTCATTCAATCGCTCTCTCCCTAAAACAATGAGGCGATCTTTGATTAGACTTTCCAGAAAAAGTTCAACCATGTCAAGATGACAAGGGTTGCGGTTGGGGGAGCTGGCATGATGTTGAGGGTTAAGAGGAATAGAGAAGTATAGAGGAGACATTGTCAAACTTTGGGCCTTAATTTTTAATTCAGAGCAGAGAGGAAGATGGTTTGACTGACTGTTAAAACAAAAGTTTGTTTGCCTTTAAGTCTACATCTATTGGGTTTAAATCCAAATACAAGATCAAATTCTTGTGTTGAAACTTTTACCAGACATATTTTAGGAAAACAGACCACAGTTATGCATGACCTTGAATGTAGGGATGTCTGAAAATGTTGTGTGCAATAAAATGTTTTCTAAAATGAACAATAGCCCTTTAATATCCTCCATCCCAACTTTCAAAATGAGAAAGAACATTATAATGGTCATAATTTGGACACTTTTTTTGGACAAACCTTTTATACATTTATATTTACTAAGATACATCTGATAATTGGCAACCACTAAAAGGAAATCCTACGTTAATTTACAACTTTGCAGTAATTATTACTATAACTATAATTATTGGTCTATTTTATGGTCATTTCAATAGCAAATGCTACTTTCAGAAGCTTTCTACAGGCACTTCTTTGAAAACGGGTCTTGGTGTGTGTGTGTGTGTGTGGGGGGGGGGGGTATGATTTCCAATGTGGTCTCAGTTTTTTAAGAACCCACAGTATGACAATCTACAGCATAAAAATAGTGTAGAGAGGTCAAATGTCTCTCAGTCATAAGCGCAGTGGCTTTTGTCATCATACAGCAGGTAGAATCATGCGCTGTGGTCTCGGTGCTCAGCAGGGGGTGGCAGCACCTGTCAGATGCATTAGAGGGCAGAAAAGAAGATCAAGATCGATTGACCTGTCCGGTGAGGGGGCCGTTGACATGTTATTAGACAAGCAGCCCACGCTGCACTTGAGCGAACAGGAGGATGACGGTGTCACACTCAAACGGACCCTGACTCTGATGTGACAGCCCAGAGAGATGAGACTGAGATAAAGAGGGGCAGCTAGACTTTAAAAAAAGACAGCCAACTTTAAATTGATGGTTTCATTTAGAAGCATTAATAATTAAAATAATAAAACAGAACGACCTGGCTATTTCTTGCATGTTTTCTACTGTGTTCTTTTGTAAATTAAACCATGATATTACCATGTTTTTTAGACATGGAACGTAGTAGTACGTTCTTTCCATGTAAACACTGATGAGACATAACCTTATGACCACCTGCCTAATATGCTGTTGGTCCTACTCGTGAAGCGTGCCGACCCACAAAGTCATGGCCTCTATACTCTAAAAAATGCTGGGTTGTTTAAACAAACCCAGCCATTGGGTTACATTTTCAAATGACATTTTTAACCCAATGTTTGAGTTTGTTAGCCTAGAAATCTGGACCCACCTTAGTGGCAGCAAAAATTGGTCTAGCAACTCTCCGTTGGCTTTCGAAGTGGAAAAAACAAACTCTGGTCAGGCCAATCACATTATGTATAGAGAGTTGGTGGGCGGGCTTAACACAATGACAGCAGAGTTGTGACGGTTCTGCGCTGTGATTTCCATAGGTGATTTTCCTGCTACTTGAAAACAAACAAGATGCTGCTGGCGTCGGCGAACAGCGGTCTTCGATTCGGCTTTTGGCCCTGACTCTGGATGACTTGGAGTTAAGAGAACGTTACTTAACATCACTAGATCCGCTGTTGGGAAAACATTTGGGACTCACTCAGCCACAGCCGTCCGTTGCTCTGGTTGGTTGGCGCTATATCCAATTGCGTGCAGAGGGATATTGAAAGACAACCTTTTATCCCGCCCCTCGGATTGAGGTATGCCAATTGTGAGTTCCCAGACCTAACATCTTGATGTAGGTCTGCTTTGCCAGGCTATGAGTTTGTCCATATTTGACCCAAAATTAAGTTAAAACAACCCAGCATTTTTTAGACTGTACAAGATGCCTGAAGTCGTCCTGTGGTATCTGGCACCAAGACATTAGCAGCAGATCACTCAAGTCCTGTGGATTGATCCATCTTGTTGGTCCAGCACATCCCACAAACATTCAATTGGATTGAGATCTGGGGAATTTAGAAGACCTTGAACTCTTCATCAAACCATTCCTGAACAATGTGTGCAGTGTGGCATTATCCTGCTGAAAGAGGCCACTTCTACCAGGGGAATACCATTGGCATGAACCTGGTCTGCAACAGTGTTTAAATAGGTGGCATGTGTCAAATTGATGTCCACATGAATAGCTGAACCCAGTGTTTCCCAGCAGGACATTGCCCAGAGGATCACACTCCCTCCGCTGGCTTGTCATTGTCCAACACCAACACGGCCATCCACTAGGTGTAAAAGAAAATGGAACCCAGGTCCAGTTCACGTGCTCATTGTCTGCTCTCTGATTGATCTGTGGCCACGCGGCTCCATATGTAGGAGAGTGCGATGCACTAGTGTGCTTTGACATATTCCTCCCATTACCGTTATTAAAAATTGATGTGGCTTGTGCTACAGTACACCTTCTGTTGGCTCGGTGCATCGATGAGCCTTGGGCGCCCAAGACCCTATCGCCGGTTTGTGTTTTGCTCGTCCTCGGACAACTGTTGGTAAACTCACCCCTGCTGACCGGGAGCAACCCACAAGCCTTGCCGTTTCAGAGATACTCTGACCCAGTCGCCTTTCCATAACAATTTGGCCCTTGACAAAGTCGCTTAATTCTTTATTCCTACCAATTTCTCCTGCATCAAACACGTTGATTATGAGAACAATCACTAGATTGTTTGCTTGCCATCTAATCTACCAGACCTTAATATGTGGCCTTGTTAGGAGATTATTAATGACATTTGCTTTACCTCTGACTGGTCATAATGTTTTGGCTCACCAGTATAGACATATATACAGTATATAAATTACAGAAGTCCAATTTGAGTGAAAATTTGAATGGTTGTACAAAGTTCACAAAATTTGCAATTACTTCTTTTTGCATCTTGTTGGATTTTGCATCTTGTTCCACACACAAATAAAAAGACACACACACACACACACAACAAATACAAAGAGTCTCACCATCCACACAGGAAGGAGCTGCTCTTGTTGTCCCAGCAACTTGCCCAGGGAAGCAAGAACACTTGACAGTTTGGGAGCGCTCCTCGATTTTGTTCTTGTTACAGCAGCGGTGGGCTGCAATGACCTCACAGGTTCCCGCTTTGACATGCACTGAGGAAAAACAACAAGGACACAGAGTCTATTAAAATCAACCAGCTGTTTCAAACTCCCCTTGCCGACATAGGAAACGATGAGGCACTAATGCATATTCTGTTGCTGCCGTTGGCTGCAATGGAAATGAATTTGACATGGAGGCAGCGTATAATTTAATTAATGCTAATGGCAAGCAGTTTTATTTGTCCCAGGTCAGAAATCAGAGGAAAATGGTCTCTGTGATCATCAGGTTGGGTTTTACGATTCACTTTAGTAATTGCAAGTAAAACGGTTAATTGACAATCATAGGCCTCAAGCATCTAGAAGGGTCTGCAGGAAATGTGTTCATTTTTTTGGTTTGTTTTGTTTATCTTTCATCTATGACTGAACAACAGCGGGGAGGAACATTACTTGGCATCTGAAAGTGTGCATTCACGCATCATTCTGAAGATCTAAATTGAGGAATTAAAAAAATAAATAAAGTGAAAAAACATTTTGAAAGTTTTAGTGTACCTTTCAAATCAGCCTTAATTGCATTGGTAAAGATTTTCAATTTAAGACTTGAGTTTAAAATTGATTGAAAAACGGGCCTCCATTTTCCCATTAGCTGGCCAATCTCAAAATCTCATCAACAACATTAAAAACATTTTGCCTCCAATCAATAAAGAGCCTTTAACGTGCGCACAAAAGAGTCTGTCGAGCGGCAGGCCGATTGTGGGCTTGGAAAAGAAAAACAGAGATTTACCGATGCAAACGCTGGCGGGTGAAGGGCTGAACCCCCTTTGTGTGATTATCTTTCAGCCTGAACACACTGCAGGGCCAAAGTTAATTTCAAAAAGTTTCAGCGGATACAAATTGAATATTCAATGGTGGGAGTTTGTTCCTACAGCTTATAGAAAATGATTGCTTTGACTCATTCAATGTGCATTACCGCCTTTATTTATTTGTGCACCATCAACAGTGCTTAAAAAAATCTATGAGAAAAACAAACTGGGCTGGGTTACTCCAAGCTGGGGCTTTGGGGGAATTTGGGAGAATTTTTTTAAGTTATTTTCACTTAAAGCTACACTGTGTAACTCTTTTAGTTTATTCTTAGCTAAAAACACTTAGTTCTTTCAAAAATATATGTGCTCATGAATGTATATTTACTTCCTTCAAGTAATAAAGTATTCTCTAATATGTCATTGAAAATACATACGGGTAAGGGGTTCTAATGTCAGTCGCACTCGCCATGTTGCCCCTCCATCTTGAAAGTACATACCCGTTAATTCAAGCTTCGCCTTTCGCGTTTACGTTTGAGTTAACGCTCATGGACGGGGTCGAACTGGAAGCCATGTTAATCTTGGACTACATTGGCCACCGTACACTCTAAAAAATGCTGGGTTATTTAATCAACCCAACCGCTGGGTTATGAAATGTTTGACCCATTATGGGTTATGTATATGGATTTTGACTCAACACATGAGTTGGAAAAAATAACCCATCTACCCAACATACACCGTTGACCCAGCACGTGGGTTGTTTGTGCTTCGAACGTCATCACATCATCACAAGAAGAGTCCACCACACCCGGATCCACCACACACCGAGCGATCTTCAAAGAGAACTTCACTTTTCATCGAGCGAGGGAAATAAACTAAGGTAGAGTACTCTACATGTCATTTCTAATATATAAGACATATATTTTAACAACTAAGTTATAAGCTGGGTTGGTCGGAAGAGGGTGAGGCAAAGATGACACGTATTGATGCAATGGCCGTGAAGTGTTTATTTATAGAAATTGCGGTAAACGGTCTAACTTAGTGTCCGGAATACAGTGAGTCTACTTTAACGTTACCTTTCTAAAGTAATATCTTTATGTTGTCGAGGCTAGTTTGTCTGGCTTGTTTGGCTAGCGTTAGCCATTGAGCCGTTATCATTGAAGCACTAGCTCAGCTGCTAGCTATTTTGAGCGCGCTATTTTTTTCCCTGGTGCATTAAATGTGAACACAGTGTTAGACTGATTAAAGTATGTATAAACAGTGAGATAGCCTGATATGCCAGACTAAATGCATGTATGTGCATTTATTTAAGTAATATGGTGACCCGCGATAGATAAGAAAACATTTCTTATATAAAATGGCGGCCTGGCTAGCAGGCTAACTTACATTATTTTAAGTTAACTGGATATAAATGAGCGCGCTTTTTTGCCCTCAAAGCTTTTAATGTGAAATGTGAAGGTATAACACAGTGTTAGACTTATTAAAGTATGTAAAAACATTGAAGTAACATAAAATGTCTGAATGTAAAATACATGTAATTTGAATTGTATAGGGAGAGAGGGTCTCTCTATATTTTGGCTGTTATCTTCACATTGGATTACATTCTGCTGCTAGTCTGCATTGCATTTGCATGGTGACATCTGAATAGTTAATACAATAGTAATTGTATATTTCTTTAACCTCATTTTGTGTTTGTTTCAGATCAGGTCAGCTTTGTCATTGACACAACAGAGTGGCAGCTGACAGACCTTGTTGAAAGATTTCAAGGTAAGAAATATTTGTTTTCACATCCACAGCATATCAAGCCTGCATTGCTACTCAAGCCCTTTTCAGACATTAATTCTTATGAAATATAATTTTCTCTTTTTTTTTCAATAGCTTCCATGTAATGTGTCAAAGTGACTCCAATAGATGAATAGGGCACATGTCTTTTATAGACTTTCAGTGATTTATTCTATTTTGTAATAACAAATGATGGAATATGCATGTTTATCTTCCATTTAATTACCTATATATTTTAGTTTTGTACACCTCAGTTGTAAAAACAGATTTCTTTGTGTTTTGTATTTTTTTGTCTTTTAGAGGAGGGGACTGATGAGAAGAGTTTTCTTCTTTTAGATGAGGCTACCATCAACAGTTGATCCCAAGAGCTGGCCCTGGGCTGAAGTTCTTCAAAAAATTAGAGGACTTGTAAGATCAACATTAGAGGCACACACAGTTATTATTTCTAAATATTAAAAGGGATAGTTTACTTTGAAATAAATTTTCGATATGTTTTAGCTTACCTCAAGGGCATCCAAGATGTAGGTGTCTTTGTTTCCACAGTATTTTAAATTTTGTTTTGTTTTTTCGGTTAAACCGTTGGCGTTGTTGTCTATCAGTCATACACTGGAGGTTTAGGGGGTCCTCCCTCGGTTCACCTCAAAGAGCATGCACAGAGAAGTCAAAATTAAACATGATTTAATGACTCGTAAATGTAAGTACACATTGATGGCCTAAGACAATAAACGAGCGGTTTGTGTGAGAAAACGAACAGTATTTATATAGTTTTTTTACCTCGTGTAACTCAGCCATTGACAACTGATCTGACGGCAGAGGCGTTTCAGTCTGTGTATGCGCCGGAAGTGACGTCACTCATTGTTTACACAGAGTTTCGGAAGTTTTACCTTTCACTGTGAAGATCTAAACATATTTATATATACAGGAAATCGCAATGGAAGAAGATTTCGATATATCTAAATGTTTAGTGAAAGGTTAAACTCCCGAAATCTCTGTGTAAACAATGAGTGACGTACACACGCAAGCGATCACTTCTGGCGCATGCACAGACTGAAGCGCCCCTGCCGTCAGATCAGTTGCCAATGGCTGAGTTACACGAGGTAAAAACGATATAAATACTGTTCGTTTTCTCACACAAACCGCTCGATTCGTGCCTTAGGCCTTCACTGCGTATACTTACATTTACAAGTCATTCAATCATGTTTAATTTGGACTTCTCTGTGCATGCTCTTTGACATGAACTGAGGGAGCACCCCCTAAACCTCCATTATATGACTGATTGACAACAATGGTTTGACCGAAAGATATCAAAATTGAAAATACTGTGGAAACAAAGACACCTACATCTTGGATGCCCTTGAGGTAAGATACAACATACCAAAAACTAAATTCAAAGTGATCTATCCCTTTAATAGTTTCTTTGGGAAGATACCAGAATACTTGCTTGCAAGTAGAGCTAATGGCTCCCGTTGACTGTTGGCCTGTTAAATGTTCAGCCAGTTCATTCATAATTGAATGTTTTCCTACTTCAGTGATATTAACTGCAGTTCCACTAATATTTTTGATATTAAAGTAATAAAATAATTTTTCAAAGACTCCATTGTTGTTTTGTTTTTGTATTGTTTAAGTGTTAATTGCATAATCTATGCATACATCTAGCATGTATTCTGTTCTAGATTTGTAGTGTAACTGTTTTATAGTTATGAGTAGTCAATTGCCTTTTATTTTCTTCAATTGTACTGTAATGTGCTAGAATTAGTCTGGCATATGGGTTAATTTGACCCAGCATTTGGGTACACTATATAACAAATATGTAGTTGAATCAACCCAGAATTGTAATTAATTTGACCCAGCATTTGGGTACGCTATATAACAAATTTGTAGTTAAATCAACCCAGAATTTTATTTAATTTGACCCAGCATTTGAGTAGAAATGAACAACTCATCTGTTGGGTTAAAAATGACCGACCCATCTTGCTGGGTCAAATTAACTACTGTTGGGCTGGTGCAATATTGATCCAGCGGTTGGGTTATAAAATAAACCAAGTTGGGTTATTTTTAACCCATCATTTTTTAGAGTGTAGGAGTTAAAACGAAATCGGAATTGAGAGGAACAGAAACTAATATTCACTGGATAGTCATATCACAAAAATCACATAGTGTAGCTTTAACTGGTAGCAATGACGTGAAATATGTTTTGAGTGTAAATAGTCAAGTTACAACATGCTACATAACTTTTGCATTCATTTAATGGCATGATATATTAAAAATATTCTATTTCAGCGATGTAAAAATTCACTGTTAAAAGATCCAAAAGAAATATACAATTTTAATAAAATAGGAATTCATTATCATTATAAGGTTCATTATAATGAAACATAAATATTGAAAAGGAGGAAGCTGTTCACTGTTCTTAGCTGAATGACTAACTTTAATAAGCCATTTCAAACAGAATATTAACACTAGAGCTCCAATAATTTTCATTATAAACAGTCTTTTCAACCACACAGTATCTAAGTGTTACAATAATTCAAATTAATCACAGAAGTAATGGGATAAAAGTTTATAGGTCAAATTTAGAGCAAATCCCTTTTGAAAGTAACATGACGTAATAAGAATTATAAATTTCTTTTTAAAAATCAAGTCAAGTCAAGTCATATTTATTTATATAGCGCTTTTCACAATACAGATTGTATCAAAGCAGCTTCACAGTGATAACATGAAAGTAGTACAACACAGAGCAATAATATTGTTGAATATTAAATATTAAATAACCCCAACTAAGCAAGCCAAAAGCAAAAATCTGCTCTTAAAAAGTAGGTAAATAATGGGTACAGCAAGTCATGGGTGCAATCCTTAAGAGCACACACACATTTAAATATTTCGACTGAACCGTAAGTGCCTTTGGTTAAAAAAAATTGTATGCAAAATGCATAAATGTAAATGATATTATCAGTGTGCTCATGAGCTTCGGTGAAAACTCAAAAGCTTTTCATTTTGGCAGTGAAAATTAACAGTTTCTATGTTTGGCACTGATCTAAATGTGTTCCTTAACTCGAGGTCACACTGAAATTGAATCAAATTTGCAAAACAAAGAAAGTGTTATGTTCCTGGAACAGAATGTGTATGGCAGCGCCACAGAGATCAGCACTGACACAGGAGCACCTGATCCCGGATCAGCCGTCAACCTACTGTGGGAACCCTCTCTCAGAATAGCTGCCTTTACACATTACACTGCAGGAATGGGTTGGCGGGGCCTAGAGAAACAGTGCAAACTACTGATTAAGCCATAACCCTTTCAACAAGGTCATAAACAAGCCAACCAAATCTATAGGCAGTATGTGTGTGTACGTGAGCAATCGGCTCCTGTGAAGATTAAGTGGCCGGTGTTCAGCAAGGTGCCCGAGGACCAACAAAGAGAATTAAACAGTTACTTCTTGGCTCCGTAAACTCGACTGATGCGAGACCTTTTCTAAGAAGGTGTTGTGTCTTTCTCTGGACATCTGTGCAAAATTTCCATGGACTTGCAATAGCTGCGATCGATATGTTTCACTTAAGGTGTGCAGGCTGGTCGTCTGGCAGAGTCAGGGAGCGTCTGCCTCAGCAGCACGAGCGGGCACGATCGGGGCGCTAACAGTAATGGGAGCTGGCATAGCTCTTATAGCCACTGCTTTCAACATCACAATCACATCCATTGATCCCACATCGACAAGCACTGAGGAAGGTGAGGAATGGATCAACTACAGTAGAAGGATGATAATGTTCATGCTATTTGACAAAAGCCAAAATAAATGAGAAGCTATATTTGATATAAATTGTTATTATTATACTTGATCACAAATACAGTAAAAAAAACAGTAATATTGTGAAATATTGCACTTTTAAAAACAATTTATATTTTTAACAATTTATAGCAATTGTTTAAATTTATAACAATTTATAGCCCTATAGGGCTGACGATTTAAAACGTTCATTTAATTAATTACCGTACTTTCGCTCCGGAGTATATGTCGGATCAGTCAAAAAAATTGTTGTGAAGACGAAAAAAAACACATATAAGTCGCACTGGACTATAAGTTGCATTTATTTAGAAATTTATTTCACAAAACCCAAGACCAAGAAAAGACATTTAATCATGAAAGGCAAGTTATTCAACTACACAATAGCACATAGAACAACAGGCTGAATAGGTGTTGCTCTTGGGGTCCCCCTAAAGTTGGGAAACAGTGTCGTCTTCCACTACTGTCGTAAAATCTGTCATGGTTACACTAGGGAATAATACACTAGTAATGTGAAATGTCTTCATCCCAGGTACATTGGCATATATTTCAGCATGTCATATGAATATAGTTTCATGGGTTTTATTTTTTTCAAATGTCAAAATATCGCGTAGCTCAAGTTTACAAGCCAGCGTCTTTATAGTAACGTTAGCCTATTGGCTACTGGTTTACATAATGGATATGCTAATTCAATGTTTGTGTGGTAGATAATAGCCATGTTGATGACTATAAAGTTCAAAAGAACAGAATTTATTTTTAAATAGAAATCTGTTGTAATGCCTTTACTGTCATTTTTCATCAATTTAATGATTCCTTAAATTCTTATGAATTGCCTAATCCAATGATACTTTTCATCTGATTTCACAGACGAGGCTCAAGTCCCAGACTAAAATGTATGTTTGAGCGGTTTTAACTGAACAAAACTTGAACTAGCATATCTTAAAAATTTCAGTGCCATTGTTTTGTCATAAGTTGCACATCAGCGCAACGTTTTTTTGTAAGGCATGTTTATATAAGCTACTTTAAAGTTCTAACTGAACTAACGTCTAATCCTGACTTAATCTAAACCCTGTCTGTGAAACCAGCCCATAATGTTTAAAGTGTCTGGATACTATCATTTACAAATATCACATACCTTTCCAAATACAATAGTTTATATATAGACACACACATATATATATATATAAAAAAAGTCTTTCAAGCAATGACAAACATATGGTTATTTCACAGGATTTGCAAATGTTGCTGGCACTTGTCAGATGTGGTTAGGATCTAAGAGTCTCCATGCAGTTTCTCATTAATGTGAGTTGAAGGGTAAAATCATCTAACATTGGGATGTGTGACATTCTCTACTAGGGTAAAGGCCATTTTAAAAATAAAACAGAACAGATTGCTGCCTCAGATGCAAGTATGAGCATTAAGCAGGCATTTTTCCCCCTTATGCCTTACTTTTGTGCTTTTCCAGTCTGTCATTGATGAGCTTTTTTGGAGCAGAGCGGCTCTTTTACCACAAATAGTCGGCGAACATATTGACAAATAACAAAAAAGGGGGGGAAAATACATAAAATCTTCCTGCTAAGCTCCTATTGAATTAGCATAACACAGCCACCCTCTGCTTTGGTGCAAGAGAGAGAGATGACAGACTTTGTGCTCACAAAATTGCTATTCAAAGGTTGTTTTTTCCACCTACAGTAGAAACACTGTGACGGAGACGCCGGACGAAA